TTCTTCCTCGGAGGCCTTCTTGTTCCTCCAGGCTATCCGGCATCCCCACCCCGGAGGAAAAGGGGGGTCTTATCCTGGGTGAACAAGCGTTCAAAAATAATACTCGAGCAACTGGAGAGGTTGCGTACCAGCCTCTCTGCCAAATCGCCTGCGAAGCAAGATTTCTACCTGGCACAGGCGGAGAAGGAAATACGTAAGAAGATCGTGCTTCCGGCATTCCACCCGGCTCCGAGGAAAAGGTGATCTTGGAGGAGGAAGGCCCATCAGTCTCCAAACCAAGGGGGATGTTGAACGTGCTCTAGCCTTGGCAGGGATCTCCCGATTCACGTTTGATTGGAACGTTCCGCGTGATGAGGATTCTGCTTGGAACTCGGTGGTGATCGAAGTGATGGGAAAGAAATCGGTGGAATGGCTGAGACGAACTATGAAGATAAGTGAAGAGGAGGAAGCACAAGCGGCTGCAATCATCAAGCGCTGGCTCCAAACTAAATCTCGAGAGATTCAACAGTACGGAGAAATGGATATAACCGAGTACAACAAGATCAAATCGAAAAAATCAACAAAGGCTCTATACATGAGATGGCGCAAAAAAGTTAGTTACCCTTCTCCTGGTTTGATCATCTCTTGTTCACCCGTGACAAAACCTGATGACTTTTTCCTCACTTTAACAGATCAAGGAAGAGAGATGTAGGGTGGCGGATCAGATCTTCAAAGGAATTCCACAATTAGCTGTTGTACTCGAGGATAAGGACTGTCATTCTGATATTGAAGACGCACAGGAGGGAGTTAATCCTGTCCGGGTATTTCCTGGGTACCGTAGTATTCATCTCACCAATATACTCCATAATCTCGATCGAATGGTCCAGGCGCAGACCACCCATCACAAGAAAATCGAGACGAACAAGAAGATGTATGCGCGTTCGGCAAGCAACCACGCACCAACTGTAGGAGGAGCTATTGGGGTTGCGCGCGACTGGCCAATTGATTGCTACGATGAAACATTTTGGAAATGCTCAGCCAATTTGAGCGTGACACTATCTCAAAAGTACCGGCAGTCAACATTCAACAGCTTGCGGAAACCTTGGCCGAAATGTGCCGTCGGGGCACTAGCAGCCGTTCGAGTGGTCAACCGGACCAAGGAGTAACAAGCCGTGGTCAAAAGCGGGGCCAGCTCGGTGACGGTCTCGATGGTGGGGAAGTGGGAGGTGTGGCTGGGCCGAGTGGTTCGATGAACATAGATTGATGTGAAGAGTAGGGGTGTCGGGGAAAGTTGTGGTTTCTGGCTTGTTTGTATTAAAATGGAACATTTGATTCTACAAAGCCATCTCTTGGGCCGTGTGGTTGTCTTGTGCCTGAGTGTTTTTGACTTATCTTCTCTGAGAAACCTGTGGTATGGCTTGCGCAAAGGGGAATGAAGGTTGTGGTGACATCTTGATGTGGCTCCCCCCTGGGAATGTCATCAAAACGTACGCGCGTACGTTTTGGTGACATATGTCAAGCCGCCCACCCAGAAAGTCAGTGGT